TTAAGAAGAAGATGAAGCGCCGCTGGAAATTTGCCAGTTTCAATATTTCAGCCCCGTCGTTTCCAGTGATGCCACCATCAAGCCAGAGATAAATAGGAGGATAGTTCTTGCTTGGAGCGCTTTCAGAAAGCTATTCAGTATTCAGGCTGAGAATAGCGAATGTTTTTCCACAGGATCAGAGCATCAGAATCTTGCCCTGTTCTCGCCGGTGCTGTTGTACGACCAGTTGATTTAGCGGGAAACTACGACAGTTGAACTGCGCTCAACGCGTAATTAGGGACAAGTGGCTGGATCATTTAGGAATGATTCTGTTCTCTCCAAGGCATAGGTCATTTCGGTAGATGCGAAGATTAAGAACACGAGATTTGCGTTTTAAGGCAAAATGGTTAAGCATAAACCATTTACTCTAGCCCAAGACTTTGTTGTGTGGGATCTGCAGCACAGCAGACATCGACCGGGAGGCCATTGTTCAGCAAACAAGATCAAGTCAGAGGCTGATCAACCTCCGTGAGGATAGTTATTCGTTCTACAAAGCAGTGACCGATGCCTCATAGCAAAAATACTGTATGTAAAGCGGCGAAACAGCGGCTATCGCAAGCCAGTTGCGTCCTGCTTATACAAATCACTCAAGGTGATGAATTCAACAGCAAAACGTTTTTTATACTGTTATTATGGGAACTAGTGACTTACCTTGTCGTTTCGGTGAATTTGAGTTGAACTAGCTGCATATTCATGGTATGTCGGTGATTTCACATAGGTCTTATTGCCAGTTTCATGCCAGCCGCATGAAATCGCTTCTCTTACATGGTCACCGTTTTTCTCACAACGTTGTCATAGTGTTGTGTATTAGCACTGGTGTGCTTATGAAAGAAAGATTATGGATTTTTATCTGAAATATTGCAGGTTCCATTGGGCCTCTCTGCCGTCCGTTTCTTTCCCTGAAACACATTCTGGCGAAGATTTGACTGTCCCCTTCTTTTCCCCATTTATAGAACATGACGATATCATCATAATGACACTCCGTTGCTAACGCTACTCATTTTGGTCCTCCTACGGACCGCATGACTGTCATACCAGATACCTCTCGCATCATCTGAGTATCGAGACAGGAAAGCCGACCTCCTCGAACTTTCTTTCATGATCAGCGTGAATTTACTTTATGACAGTAGAATGCTTATGATCTTATCAGTCGCCATTCAACGTTTTATTTCCATAATCTGGCCGTTTGCTGTAAACTAGGTTGGCGAACTCTTAAATCTCTTTTCTCCAGTCACGCCTTCGGAAAGCCTTCGGTGCAAATGTAAGAACATAGCGTTTACTGTTCTTTTTATTTTATGTTATTGATTGCTTGACCCATTCTTCTGTTGGCTAAAAGTAATACAGGCAATTCTTTATAGTAGCGAGGTTTGACTATGATCCTGCTTCCAGTATGGTATCAAAGCTTTCGTTTTTTAGCAGTCTTTCTTGTGCGACCTCATAGTGATGAATGAAATCCTGTGATTCCTCTTGATAAACAACTCCTAAGAATGTCATTGATTGATTCGTTTCTGATTGCAGCCGTTTGACAGATAGTAACTTCAGCCAGACGCAACCTACTTCTTTTGAATGATACTTTTGAATATCACCGCTTTACCAGATCTCTGTGTACAGTTGGTATTTACTGTGTGTACTGTATGGTCGAGCTTCACTGCAGATCCATTATTCAAGTGAAGCTGTGAGGTCTTAATGATTGTGACGTCAGGTGGTACGGCGGCACAGTGGCAAGGAGACCATCCTCGAACTTTAGCGCAGAAACGATCTTTGCTTTAATCGTGATTTCCTTTGAACAATGATTTTACTTCGCGTTGCTTCTTTGTAACCACCAGAGAGACGGGTAGCCATTCGTTGATCTGTGTGTAAAAGGATAGCATGCTATTCCGGTGTGGTCTTATCAGAACGGGTAAAAGGTATGATCATGCTCTTTGATAAGAGAGCCTTATGGGGCTACAGGTCCCAGTAACCGCCAAGTAGCTGCTTTGTCAGTGATATCCCTGTTGCTATTGTTCACTGTAGGCTGCCGTACTTTCGTGATCCTGCATTTGTTGCCCGTCTCCAGAATAACGACTTAACAGCTGTGCAATATGTACTTAATTATTATCTGGCATGATCATGATACGACAGTACTTAGCTTCCTTTTTTCTGCTTCAGTCAATAACGTGGGAATGTGTTACACGTACCCAAAGTACTACCATGAAGTTGAAGACTGTCAGGTAAAACGAATCAAGTTTTCGTTATTCAGTGATCACGCTATTTTTAGTTCATCGAAAGCATGATTCGTGTGAACTGCGAGGCGATCACTCAGGTATCAGTTCACTTTTGTGGTCGTCATCCGCTTTCGAATTATCATCGTTTTTATTGCAGATTACCAAGATTATTCTACCTCAGATGATCAGGAAACGCACTGGAGCGATCATCAACATATCTTCGGCCCTGTGCAAGTTTCCTGGTCCCTATCTCTCTTTGTATGGTGCAACGAAGGTAGGCGTTTTGTGCACCTGACTGACCAGTCATCGGTCACATCGTTTGCCTGATGATACTGACATGATATTTGACTTGACGCTTTTAGGCCTTCATCTCCTCTTTCACAAGTAGTCTCCAAGAAGAGTACCACAGTAGTGGAGTTACTATTCAGGTCAGACGGAGCAGCAGCTGTTTCATTCTTTGATGAGCGACATGTAAATAGCGCGCGCTAATTATAGGGCGTACTTCCGTTTTACGTCGTTTCCAATATGTGCAGGTCAAGACCGAGTTTCTTCGTTCCTCACGCAAGCGATTATGCTAATTCAGCTCTGGACACATTGGGCTTGCAGGATTGGACCTTCGGTTGCTTTTCTCATGCTACACTGGTATGTTCGTTCGATTGCTTCTCCATTATGCTTGTTTTTTTTCTAAATTTACATTAAGCAATTTTAAATCATGCTTCTATAACAAAAACGTACTTCCAGCGGGAGTATGCGGTGTTTCTCATTATCCTATTTTTCAGTCAGTAAGCGGATATCTGCTAGGTTCATTAATCACCTGGCCAGTCGCTGTTTCTTTTTCCATAGTACTGTTGCAGTGCTAGTGACCTATTCCGGCGCATGAACATATTTTGATGATTACCTGATAGGATATAAGCACTACATTCGTGATCAGGACGAGGTCACTCTAGCGAAAACAAAATAATACAAGATGCTTGTCACTGCAGATGTCATATAACCTGGTTTGCTTAGATGCCACCGGGTTAACTTGGAGCGATGCCATGAAGTCCGGTCTTAAATGAGTCATGCATTATTTACATACTCCGCCTTACGAATATATTTTTGTTTTTATTGTACTAATCTAGTTGTAATTAGACAGCGAGGTTGCTTGTGCCGTCAGCAAAATTTCCAGTTCCTCACCTTGTCTCCTTGGAATTGGGCTGTTGCGAGGGCTGCTCCTCTCAAAATATCTCGGTTCGAAATAATATGTAGTACGTTTATTTCTGCTTCGACTCGCTGCCCATTAAGCCAAATATTCAGCACCGAACACAGAGTGATCGAAAAACACTTTACAGCAGTTCGTTGCAGGCGAATGTCACATGTAATTACAGTAGCATTCTCTTGATCTCCTTTGATATATAAAGTCTGGCTAAGTACTCTAAGTCTACTGACTGTTACGCCCCACAAATGCAGTTAGCATTGGAGACCTGCGCGAAGTTTGCCCAAGCACAGTCAGAGGTTCTAAAACTGTGCCTTTGCGACTGTGTCACTCAAGGGCCCTAACGAAATGTGGGCAGTGTAGAATGACCATATTCCTATTACCAGTTTAATAAATAAAAAATATTTTAGTTTACTAATTAGTATAATTCATAGCACATCAAAGCTTATGGAACTATTAATCGATTGAGAATGAGATTCTTGATGTTTCGTTTTGACATCCATAACGCGCAGGCCCTTGCAGACGTTTACCTACTCCATA